CTGTGAGTAAAATGTCCTGAGATTATCAAGTGCTCTGCAACAGAGCTGAAGATGTATTTCTGTCCTCCCTTTGTCAGTAAGGTTGGGTTGTGTTGCACGAGGGTGCTTGACAAGCTAATATGTGGTACGGCCGATCTGCTCGGTCCCACAGGAGCAAATAAACTGATACACACACCGAAATGACTCTGTGTTCCAGCTAATCCTTTCCGCACTGACGAATGACTTTCTGACAGGAGAACTCAATCCTAAGACTGAAAGTGAAAAAATGTTTCCTCATGGAACTTGGTTTTCTCTTTCTAAGGATATCTACCTCATCATCCCCCTTGAGACTGGAGTTCAGCAGAGAAATCTTTTTAGGAATAGTAAGCAAGCGTTCCTTGACGTCTTTAGGCTTTAGATTCCTATCTAAAAATTTCACTGGGTATCCATTTTTCATTGGGATTCCTCACAGGTTTTGTGTTTCATCATCATGGTCTCAGTGTATATTGTTCGTATTCTTGGAGATATTGGATTGATAATATTCCTGTTTCTACTTAAGGAGACATAACTTTGAAAATTAACAAATTTTCTGTTCCAAATGAACTTTCTTTAAATAGATCTGTGAAGTGAAGTTGAAGTTGAACATCAAGGATCTGAGGTTTTTAGTTTGACTCTGATTCTAGAGTGAAACTGATGAAGAAATGGCACTACTGAAAATCTTAAACAGGCTTACTGGATTCTTGTTCTTGTCGAAACTAGAGTATCATCTATGTAACTTCTATAGATATAAAGTAAGCTGATTATTTTTAACAGGATTGTGTTTTCCAGGCTTGAAACAGAACGATTAGCCAGGAAACGTGCTAGAAAAGATTCCATTATCCGTTATGAAAATTTATTTTCATCTGATAGAATCAGTGAAAGCTTGTCTATATAATCTAATGTGTTCAGAGACACTATTCCACCGCCTGTATCAAAGCGTATCATGACTACCTCTAACCGATTCAGATGTTCCCTTAGTAGGAGATATCAGATGTCGGATTTTCAACCTATATAATTCATACATACATACATTCATAAAATGGTTAAAATCACTGGAGGAGAATTGAATAGGGTTTTTCCTCTGGCTAACTAAACTGTTGAATTGAACCTTTTTGTTCAGTTCATTAAATTTTTATGTTGTTTCGCAGAATTTTAAGCCGAAGAATTAGACTTGCATTTGAGTCAAGGATAGTGATACATTCAAACGGTTAAATAGATGTTTTTCTGGGGCCAAATGGAAAATACCCTCATTTCAGCTCTGATTTCTTTTTATGCCAATGTCATAAATTCACCTCTTGGTGGTGCTAGCAACATAGTTGTCATTTTTTTATTTTCGTCCATAGATAATGTGGATAGAATGTTACTATTTTGTGACAGCTGCAGTTTTAGTTCTGGTTGTCAAGATTTGACAGCATCTGTGTGGTTTAAAGCGTGTCGTTTCAAAGTATTAGAATTAGGAGAGGTATGATGACCTTTTAACTTCTTTCGAGCATTTTGGAATAATCATGTTTGTTCATACATTTCTTCGAAAAGGGAATTTTTTATTCACCTATGCAAACTTGACGGAAAAACGCAGAAACTTGTCCAGTTCCTTTACCGTCGAAGGGTTACTGGTATTCCTCAAATATCGGAACAAACCGTTTTAGTCATAAGGAAAAAAGAGAAGACGATTACAATGAGAAAATATTTTGCGTTTCCATGAAATCCATAATCATTAGGAAACTCGTACCCGCTCGAAGTATATGATCATCCCTCAATTGTGAGGTTGAGAAATTACCATTAAGCTATTCCGGTTAAGCAATATAGTGAACGTAAAAATATTTCAAGTTGCAAACTTTCAAACAAAAGCTTTCTAGGATAATCATTGTCAATTTCGTTCAAGTTTACATCTCAACTAAGTCCACCATTCTTATTTGTTAAAAGTGGGAAATAAAAACATAAGGAATAGGTTTGGAATGAACTGGCAAACTATTTCAGTTATTTCTATTCAGTATTTTTACCACAACCAATAAGAATTTTGTCAGTTTGTTACACGCAGTCGGAAGAAAGTCCTGCACTTAGGTTTCGGGGTAGTTGACGAGTGTTTCACAGATCAATTTGAACTGAATTATTTTCTAGTACTCGTTAGTGACTTCCTGAGAGATGAGATTACCTAAAGTTTTAATGAAAAGTCGTATGTGAGGACGACTACTCAATTATGGCACTGAATGAAGGCGGTGCTAAATAGCGACTTGACAGAAGTAGGAGAATGGTGACCATTGGATTCCGACTCAGTAGCTCAATGGTAATGTTCTTGTTACGAAACCTGAATGTTATAGGTTCGATCCCTGAAGGGACCATGAGTGCGAACTGTCAAGAATCCCCGTACTAGGATGAAACTGCTTTCCAGCGCTACTAGGTTTTCATTGGTTTTCCAACTGATTTCAGCTTATGATGAATACTAACCTGAGATTTGCTTTAAAGCGTCTTCCATGAAGTATCTAACAAGCCGATTAATATGGAACTGCGATATAGGTTTCTTAATAAATCATGTTCTTTTATTTGTTTTGTTAGCTGGTGGATGAAGAACTCATCTAAGTGATACAGGAAGCTAGACTAAGCTCTAACAAATAATGCTACCAACATTGTTGGCTTTGACACGTGATTCCCGAAGTTTCAATGAGAAATCATGACCGGTGGGGCAAACCTGGTGACCATGAGGACAAATACCCAACAATGACATTGAGAAGTGGTTGCGTTATATTATGAGCTGACAGAAGTTGGGAATATGGACAACTGGATTCCGATCTAACGGCTCGATGGTAACGTACTGGCCACGGAATATGAAGGTCCAGGGTTCGATTCCTGGTGGGGTCATGGATGCGCACTACTGAGGTGTCTCATACTGGGATGAGACAGCTGTGAAAGAGAAGGACAGTTTTTATGATAGCCTGCTTTTTTTTATAGATGAGCATCTAAATGCTTTATAAAGACTTACACAGATGGACACTTGTGCTAGAACGTATTTACATAGACACCAACTCGTCACACAGGTGATATGACAAAATAGAAAGATTGATTTTGAAAGCTCATCATGCATACTACTAAATCAACCGTATATTCACTGAAAGTAAATGAAAAAAGGATGAATAGTCTTGAAAATATACCTACTTTCTAGGGGGTTCGGATCATATCATGAGATCTGTGAAATATTTGTAAGAAAATTTGAATGAAAAATTTAAAAGACAAACAATACTTTTTTATGAAATAAACAAGAAAGGAATTCTTTATCAATATCTGTGGTTTTTGAATGGGGTATTTATTCATGAAAAATCTTCTTTTATAACTGCTTAATATGAGCTTTTACAGGAATTTTCGGTTATCTTACAGTTCAAATATTAGTATCGTATCCATTAGACTACATTTTAGTAAATAGTTACGCTAAAGCCTATATTCTTCTTGAATAATTTATATGTTGACTAAATAACAAAGTTGTCATCATAATAATGACAATGGGATATAACAAAAGGATAAATAAGTAGAGTTTTGCTTAACAGTAAAAGTAATCTAGTATACTGATTGATTTCTGAATAGTATTTGTTATTTTAGAATGTACATACCGCTTTGAATAGACGACTATGGTAGCAACTTGTCCAGTCTTCAAGGCGTTTTAAAACTACTTCAACTGTTGCCTTCACAGGAAAATAAAAATCCAATTGATCACATATTTATATGAATGTGTTTCAGTTGTTCTATGCTATTACTTTCCGAGTTTTTATTTTTTGAGTTTCTAGCTTCATCACTGTTAACCTTAATACAATAACATTTATACTATATGGATGTACCATGCATACAAAAGGGTAGCAAATTGCTTAGAATTAAAACTGAGATGTTTGATAATTAGTAGTAGTTTCCCTTAACTGTTATTCCCATAACTTTTATTGAATAATGATATCAACAAAATCAAGCATTATGCTGCTGTAAATACTAACAACGTCCAGCTCTAGTTTATTTTGATGAAGCTAGAGAATTCAGTCTGAGTACCGTTTTCACCATTGCTTAATGACAAACAATTAACTAGAATGATCACGAAAATCAATGTACAGATATTAACAGTTAGATTTTATGAAAAATGTTTAGTGTTGCTTAAACCATTTCAAGTTATTATTGATGGATAATGGCTACCAGTAGAATTTAGGACGTCCTTTCATTTCTTATTTGGGACTCGTCAGGTGTATACATTTACATCCCAGTGGGTGTTGTTGTTCCCACTAAGAGTCGAAGCCGAGACTGATAACTTCAAATCCCAAAATACTAACACTACTTCACTGAGCCATGTTAGTCATCAATATCAAAACCTGAAATACTTCCGATGTCGAGATAAACGGACAGGAACCTTCATATTAATATTGGCTAATCGGTTTGGCCCAATCAACAGTGATGATTTTCAGGCTGTAATATTAAAACTGATAGAAAACAAATAGTGTGCTGAAATAAGAGCAATTGTTTGTCTTAAGTGAACGATAGAGTGTTAGTTTCGATGTAGTTGCATAGAAAACAAATGATCTGCCTGAGTGGAATATTGGCGAAGAGTGAAGTGACGTCTAAGAAGACGACTTGTTTTCCAAATACTTCAAGATTAACATTTACTTAAATAATGCAGAAAGGCTATGAATTTTCTAAATTATTATATTCTGTTCTCTTTTGATTACAATGTGGTTTAAGCATACACCTTAGAATGAATTGTACTGATAGAATAAGAATAAGATGGAAAAATGACATTTCTGTGCCTTAAGCAGTGGTTTACTGCTTGATAAAGTTTCAGACATTTCAATAATTAGATAACTTCTTGTGTTAGTCCCACTGAAGACAAACACTAGTCTAGAATAAACTTGAAACGATAATGCACTGATTACATAAGGATATTTTTTCCCTCAGAATGGATCCTTCATTCATCTAAATTATACTTATAGCATTTACAAAATATCAAAAGGGAAACTATATGAAGTACATAATTTTATTGCCTTTTTGAAAGAAGGAAAACATTGAAATCTTAGAAAAAAAATTTATCATTAGTAGATAATCTGTACAACAAGTGAGTATAAAATATGAAAGGTTTCATGTACATCAATTTGGGGGAAAACTATACATTCATTGAAAAAGTAAAATGCATAAAGAATTAGGTGAATAATTTACAAAGTTATTGAGAACAATTATACAATGAAATTATTCTACCTTCAAATTAGAAATTACTGATAAGTGAATTTGCTAAAATGCATAAGAATGAGTAAAAGTTTTCAATTCATCATGTAATCTTTCAAAAAATAAACCAGGATCACAGACTATTTCTTGTATCATTCAGATATCAAGTGAATGAACTGTCTATTAAATAACATATCCCATGAGAAGAAAGAGTTGATAGACTTCTAAAACACCGGTTTTTAGAGTCAGTACGTGAAACAAATCATTTATTCATCTCATGTTATAGTATTGAATGTTTAGTATGAAGAACTTACTCCTATTCATACCATTCTTCTTTCTACTGTCTGTTTGTTCTCCTCCATCGTTTTACATGTGATACCTGTATAGAATACTTTCCAAAAAACAATCCAAATCCATGAACTTTGATATTCCCGTGCAATTTCAATCCATCTCCAAATAATTATGTTTCAAAATACTCATTTCAATAAAGTAAACCAAACACTTTTTTTGCATATGGCTAGTGAAAGCGAAGAATTCTTTTCTGTGATTAAATTGACTTCCTCCATTGTTTATTGAATATTAATCATTCACGGATGATTTGTTATGTTCATCTGAATAAGTTATGACATTAGTCCGTATACCTTATTGATTAAATAAATAATTATGGATCTTTACTTTAACTGAATGGTATTCATTAAATAAAAATTTATTATAATACACTACTAAAAGTTAAAGTAAACTAAGTAGAATATATATTCTTCGCTGTGAAACAATGTATATCTCTGACTAGCTCTTAGAAAATTCGTTAATTCAATAAAATAAAAAAAGTATCACTCAAATCTATCTCCACTTCAATAGTTCACTGATTGCATAGTCTTGCTTAATTCTGTAGATGTGAATAAATCCACCTTTCACACGAGGAATGTATACTCCTCAGAAACCTTCAAAACGTTTTTGAAACTACACCTTTTTCATTACATCATTGACAATAGTTGTCGAAAAATCATCAATGTCTTACATCTTCCTTTTAAAGACTAAATGATTTCTTTCATACAAAGAGGTTAGTGGTGTAGTGAACATACACGCACTAAGTAGCCATAACAAGACATTAACTAGGTACTTTGTTATTTGTATCATAACAAATTACTATAGAATAATCATTCTAAATACAATTTTTTTTATTTCTGGAAGCCATCACTCATTTGCATCAAAAAAATTTATTTTGGAAGTCTGTCACACATTTTCGTATAACGTTACGCGCAAATATGAGAATTTATTACAGCGCAAATCTGAAACCTCTAAATGATGATTGAAAAGAAGCGTGACAACAGTCAGTCAAGTAATGCACAAACGAACGAGTCAGTGACTTATTTGGGTGTGGCGTACCTGCACAAGGTTTATATCCAAATTAGTCTCAGTTATGTGATATTAGAACATAACTTACTTTTGTTCTCTAAAATAAAGTCCCTTTAGATAAATATCTCTAAATACCTCAGTTTCATTCATTTGAATTAACTGACAGACTCAAATTCTTGGTCTTCTATATTTCCATCGTCGTATTGAAACATACCGATAAGTTTGTTGAAATTAGGTTAACGATCATGTCAAGATGTCAGACGTGACTGGCAAAAGAATCACTTAAAGAAGTGGCATAATGCGAAACGCTTTGGTGTTTGAAGCCATGGGTACGAGGTTTGAGTCTCAGTGGGAACATCACTCACTGGGGTGCAGGTATATCCCAAATAGGACGAAACACGCTTGCTGAATTCTTCTGCTAGCCACAACCAACCAAATTATCATAATGAATTCCATTATTATGAAGAAAATGTCCGCTGACCTTAAGCAACCATAAATATTTATTTTAGTAGCTAATCCAAAATCATGCTGATGAATATGATAATATCAGATAGGAATGGGTGAAGATGAAGCGAAAATTTGGGTCTTTATGAAAATCGAACCATCAAACTCCAGTAGCTACTTAGCTTTGAGGATATAATGTCATAGACTCGTTTGCCTCAAGATACTACATCTGAACAACTTAAGTAGCTAAAAGCCATTCAAACACTGGAAGACCGTTCCTCTAGCCTGCAAACCTTTGGTAAACTGATAATCCTATTTTAGGTATACCGGTTCATACAAGTCGAGTAGCCAGATCCAGGTGATTTGAATTTATCCAGGTGCGAAGCTGATGAGCTCGGCTCCAAACGAATGAGTTGGCCGTCCGGTGTTTAGATTACTCTGATCTGGATGGAGGAATCTACAGATCAGCCTAAGTGGTTTCTAACTACTCAAGCTCTTCAGTAGAAGTACCTTTCGCTAGCTCCTGACACGTCTGTATCAGAGACCATACCTTGTGATCTTGGCTTTGTGTTTTCCAGCGGAAACCTTGTTAACACCACAGTTGTGTAGTTGAGAAACTGCTCATCTATGCAAAATGTCAACCTGGACCATACGATTCACTTTAAGTTCCACAGAGGCTTTTGAAGGTCTCTTATTCGAATACTACCACAACATTAGTGTAGATTTATCTTCAGTCAAAAGGTACTTGAACAAACACTAGTTTACTATATCACGATTATCTTAGATGGTATGGCTAAAAACAGAGTATTCTTGGCAAAAATATTGACCAAATCTGGCTCAGAGTTTTATCTAACAGATTGTAATTCAGACAAAATCAGAGATGATAATGCCACTTATCAATATGTTCCAACTATACTTTCTTAAAAAGAAAAATGTTAAAGGATCCAAGAGATCTTTTCATACCTTGTCTCATCGGTTTCTCTGCGGACATCATTTATTGGTTACATAGAGTGATGCACATCAACGAAAACTGGTTGACGGCATTGTGTCTTTTCGAAACTTCTTTGCTCTTCTTAGTCAGATTCGACTGCTGCTTTCTTTGCGTATATGTTACATTTTCACAAAGTGGTATATTTCGATTGATCTGCTCGTGATCTAAATTTATCTAGAACCTACTTACGTATTTATATTCTTGTTTAGCCTCTTTCATAGTTTTATTCAGCCTCCTACACTAGATAGTTATCTGTGTTTAAATTCATGTTACGTCACTCAAACTAAATTTCGGTTCTTCACATCAATTTTACGCATGCAACACTTCACTCTAAATACATAATTATACTTTATGTATTTAGATAATGAGTTCGGAAAGATTCCACTCTTCTTTTTCTTGTTAGAAGTGAAATTCCTTCGAATTATGAATAAACAAGTAAGTTTCTTATATGAGACTTATGCTTTGAATCTCTGCAGAAGTAGTGATTATAACTTTATTATCATGAATATTTATCCATATGTGAATCTATTGTTTACTTTACTGGCTAGTTTCACAATACCTGTTCCAAATAATTTTTTATGCTCAATATTTCATACTGACTTTCAAATAAATACACTTATGAGGTTTTTAAGACTACACTCACTTCCTTCACTTGCTGGAGAGGGTTCTGATCTTGATCCAGTGTTCGTGGAGTGATTGATTTTTGGAATATTATCATAATGCTGTCTAAGTAATTCAAGGTAGAAAAATTTCATATAAGCTTCAAATGTTCCCACATCTTGACTCTGTAGAATGTTTGGATTTAAGAAAGAACTTAACTGTATCTGACCATTAGAGTGACTGTTACCTTCAAAAATATCTTTGTACATTTGGTAGGTTTCATTAAGATTACTATTCTGTTCTGATATTTTGTTGCTATCAAAAGTTTTAGGTGGGTCAAACAAGTTGGTTAAAAACGACCGCTTTTCTTTCTCATTGTCAAAAGAATCGTTATGAAATATATGCGTATTGTTTTGATTCAAGTTACTGGATGAAAACTTTGTGTTTAGTTCATAAGGATCAGTATTTCCACTCTTTAAGTTACAAAGAAGATATGAAGTACATGGTGAAATTTGTTCAACATTGGATTTTTCGTAATCATATTGTAAAGATGAATTTATATGTTTGACAGTTTGAGAGATCTCATTCTTTTTTGGAATATCAGGACTTAACTGATTAACTCTAGTTGCAGCTTTTACGGTTCTTTTTAGTGTTAAATGATCGTCTGTGTTCAATAAAGATGAAATAGTGAACTTATTACAATGTGGACTTGATTTATTTTTGGTGTTGTAATCTTTTGAACTCTGTGGTTGATGAAACTGTTGGAAATGAGTTTGATTTGAAAGGTTAGTAACTGTTTCCTCTCGTTTGGAAGTGGGTATACCATCTTTGTGACAAGTATTGAGATCAGTTGAATAGTTTTTCATTAGGTTAGGATTTAATAGGTGAGTGGGAAATATGCAGGTTTTCTCGGTATTCGACGAAATATTTGAAACAATTTTAGCCAAGTTTTCGAATGCCATATCATAGACTTCTTGATTTAAAGTTTTAGAAGTATTTGCCAGAGCTGTTACCAAATAGTTCATCATAAGTTGTAGTGATGGTGAAGTAGTGAGATTCTGTTAGTAGAAGTACAAAATGAAAAAAGTAACAGTGACAAAAACAAGATCATTTACTCAGTATGCTTCTTCAGCGCTGTAATATACAAACCCTTACATGATACAAAACTCTATTATTTGTCATTCTAAGCAGCAATTATGATTCGTGAAGACGTTTTATAATTTTCGCAACAATAATGCTAAGAATGATATTTGTAGGCATAAAATAGCAAATTTAAGCTAACCTGATTTATCACTAACTGTATTGTTTGGTCACTGGAGGGTAACCAACTTCATGCTGTCTGGTCCTAAGGGATGATTGAGTTCTCTCGATCATTTTTCAATATGGTCAGCAGGTTAGACGACGCAAAACTGCGATAGACGTTTAGTGGAAGCAAACCTGCTTGATATAAGTTCGTGTCCGGTGGCCTGCATCAGTAAGGCGTATCTGTGACCTATGTGGAACTGCTGTCCATCCTGAGATTCAAACCCAAGTTACCCAGTACTAAAGTCAGAGCAATTTGGGCGGTGATTGACCCAGATAGTTCCCTGTTAACGTCTCTGACTGTAGCTCAGGATGACATGGGTCCAAGTCTCAGGCGGAACACAAGTTCCATAGAGGTCGCAGATACGCCTTGCTGACGAGTATCAAAATCCACGAAAGCTTCATCAAACAGAGTTTCCTGCCAATTAATTCCATCCAACTAAAACTTAATTTAATTGACTATCACACATTTTAAATCCATTACAGTTTCTAAAGGAGTTTAAATCTTTTAATGGTTAGCCTGTAGAATGTTGATAAAATCACCTGATGATTTCAGAGTGAGATGAAACACACATCCTGAATTCTACCGTATATCAATGCCAAATTATTCAAAGATAATACCACCACTTACACATGTATACCTAATAACAATGAGTTGAAATTTCATACCTTAAAGTAACACTTATATTTTGAATTTTTTCCCATTTATGATATGAAAGTAAATCAGTTGCAAAGAAGAATTATGGTAAATAACATTTACTTACAGGAACATTATGTGAACACGATGATGAAAATGATGTACACCGAGAATTATGGCTTACATCTGAAGATGTAGATTGTTGTGTATTTGCATGTCTATCGTTAACATAACTGCTCACTGATGTGTTGTTGATGTCCGCAGTTGCTGCGGATCCTAATTTCAGATTAAATAAGTTATTTTGATTATTTACAACATTTTGTTTAACTGGTGAATCAAAATGAAAATTTTCATGATCTTCAACTGATGGACTATTATTGTCGGCATTATTAGAATTGAAACCAATGCCTCCATTGTTACAATTCATAGGATTATTATTATGCTGACTGAGAGTAGATAATTTGTTTAAATTACGAAATATGGGAAATGATTCAAGTAACTGGAATGACGATGATAATTTTGATGGATTACTTGATGGAAGTGACTGAAAACACATCGAACCGTGTGAATTGATGTTATTGACACTCTGTGTACCAGAAGTCGAGGCAGCGAAAGATGTAGAAACTGGAAATTCTAAGGAAATTGGTAACAGTGGTGGAATCATTGGGGTAAGGAGTGAATGATCAGTAGGGATTGATTTTGAATTCAATGTTGGACTTTTTATTTTGTTCCCAAATATAAAATAATCTGAGGGATTATGAAAGTTATTTGATGTTTTTGGTACAGATGTTTCTGAGGCGAATGAATTTGTAATGAACTCTAAAGAATTATATCTGTTTGTTACTGGTTTTGACGGTAGGTTGTTCAAATTTTCAATAGTATCTTCATTTTGTGGAGTTCTTGGTAAAAATTTATTTCCGTAAGGAAAGGAATTTATTGCACATCTGCGGGTTGGTTTTACTGATTGAATATGTCTTGAATGCGAATTTTTGTTCCTTGCGTTTAATAAAGGTTGGAAATTCAGTGAGTTGCCTATAAGGCAGTTACTTGATGTACTCACAGTTCCGATGTTATGCAGTTCCGAAATCCTACCATCTAGGCAAATTGATGTGTTAAGTAAACAGTTTTTTGATACTCCATTCAACTCATTCACATTTGAGAATCCATGTGGATTTCTTAGGAAAGTAGAATCACATGGTTCATTCAACTTTTTAGGTGATTTACTAGGTGTATAAGTGGATGAATTGTATTTTGTAACTTCTTGCATATTAAACCGTCTCATTAACTCATTGAATAGATTCTCCCTTTCTACTTGAGACATTCCTAATAATTCTGCATGCCTGCGAACTGTATGCCGTTTGATTGTGTCCACTTTTCTTTGAGTCATCACTTTATGACAAACAAGACACATCACCTACAAATTAATATTAAAAATCTGAAGTCAGAAAGCTCACTTACATAAATTGTGTCAAAATAATCGATCTACTTACAAATTTGTTAGTAGTTAAGGTCAATTTCTAAACCGTACTCAGCGTATTCGATTAGAATGTACACGAGGTATATACTTTCGAAATGATGGAAAAGATTTGTAACTCAGGATGAGGGTGATTATACTTCTGTATTTTTTAGAGCTTTGATATTTGAAAGCTCAGAGAACACTAAACCACCGGTATTTACGCTCTCACTACCGATCATCCCACATAAAATACAGTTTAATATAATGTGAACCGGTGTATGAGACGTAAACACTTATTAGCTGGTCGATTGAATTAAAATCTAGGTTTGGAGTAAGTGTTGTCTCCAAGACAAACTAAGAATTGCTATGCAGGTTATATTCCATAAAATGTCAACATCCCGTATCTGAAAGTTGTACACCTACAAATTCATGTATGCATATTACCTACATCAGGTACTATAAACTGTCAGACATATAAACATCAAGTGAATAATAAAACTTTAGTAGAGTCCTAACTGTTTTTTTCGTCATTCTTCTGTTTCCCACAGGCAATTTACAACACTAGACTGAATTAATAACGTATTTTTGGTTTTCAAAATAATCGTCGAGTTCCATTGTCTTTTTTCATAAGTACTAAGTATTATTAACTGTGTTCAATAAATGACAGTTTTTTTATTTACTGTGAGTGATGATTGTGTGTTTGTGTATGCAAGCAGACATTTATATCCACATTCTTATTTCTTTTATCACTACCCATGAAGTGTAATATATAAACTGTCAATCATGAAAATGATCTATCCAAAGGAGAACGTTCACAACAAAACGCTTGTTGTTAGTATCATATAAAGTAACTGGGATGTTAGTCAGTGAAGTGCAAAAGTGAAGCAGAATATTGCGAAGAAAATAAACATTGTTTGCAAAATGTGTTTCTGATAGTTAACAATATAAGATGCTCAGTTCTGTCAGCATGTTTGACGTATTAAAAGAAAGAATAATGCAGATTGTGTTCCCTACTACCACCATAACTAAAATCAACCTTGGGTATTCGTATGGAGGCGTAAATAATGGACCTATAGTCTTCTTCTATCCAAACAGTCGTACTATTTCCAAGTGATTAATTAACCGTAAGAAAAAATATACCTAGTCTTTTCTACATTTCTTTTCAATTTACTTAGAAGTTAACATCAGTTAGATAATACTCGGGTCAAAAATGTTGATGAAGTGGAAAGAAAACTTCCTATCAACTTTTAATGAATCACATTTCAGGTAATAGTGTTATGTCACCGAAAATAATTTTTTCGTCTTAAAATGGACACAATGCAGGATATGAAATAACGGAGAATATTTTCACTCGGATGGATTATCTTGGAGGTATCGCGTTCTCTGGGCCAGATCTTTTTATCAACGGACTAATACAATGCTACCTAAAAGTTCTAAACATAGCGCTAATTCATGGTATCTGAATATGTAATTTAGCAAGAGTTTGAGTATTGGAAACAAGAACTAATACTACCTTCAACCAGAAATATTTAGCATCCAGCTTTACCTCCGCTTATTAAGGCCAAGTACCTAGACTCTGAACATTTGATGAAATAAACATAACGTGCCAATTTTTTTCTTTATCATTATTATTACTTATCCGTTGGGTTCCTATTGGAATATACGACTTCAGTAGCACGCCTCCATTACACTCTCTTCTCTGCAGTCTTTTCAACCTGGCTCCACGACTTCCCACAAGCTTTCATTTCTTCCTTACATGATCTCCTTCATGTCACCCTCAGCTGGGACGCCCAACTTGTCGTTTCCACTTTGGATTTCACTCGATGACCTGGACTGGCTCGCGCGTGATGCTCCCAGTCGGCCTCCTCAGTGTACGCTCAATCCAATCCATCTCCACTTTCTCCTTCTGCATATTTGTTGGGTGATAAGTTCTTGCTTGGTTCTTTCCCAGATTTACATGTTGCATATTTTTTCTGATCATCTAAGCTTCAGTATGGAGTGAGTGTAAGGGGCAGCAGTTGATGAATGTGTGTAGTCTGTTGGAAATGCTTTTCGTAACTCGCCAAGTCTCTCAACCATATACCTGCAGTGACTTGACATTGGTGTTGAAAATCCGCATCTTGTTCTTTGTGCTGAGTCGAGTTCAGAAGATATCCACACTGGTTTCAGATTAGTGAAAACCTGTCTTGCTGTCTTTCCGATCCTGGTTTTGACGTCCTTATCTGTGCCACCGCTGTAGTTGAAACGATGGTGCTTTACTTACCAATAAATCAAACATGAAACTCTGTTATCAATATAAAACAGTTGAATTCTTTGTAGGCGTATGAGGCTTTTCAGTTTCTACCGGACAAAGTTATTTATGCCATCACAAGTCACATATATTTAAAGTTCACAGAATAAAGTTGAACCTATCACTTTTGTGAGTAGAATATATGCCCTGTGATGGGATGCATTTTACTGACAAGCGTTGTAAGACAAGAGTTAAATAAGAATAAAGCTGTTGATTTTCTTACTTGCAGATTACATATTCCTGTCAGTTAAATCGTTTTTCTGTATACCCTAGCTCACTGCTTGTTTGTTTCTAAGTTTAGATTTCTGTCATCGTTTGTAACTAGTAAGTCTAGTTACACACCAGTAATTGCCATTCAAAACAGATCATTCAGAAGAATTCTGTAGCAACCTTTTAAAACCGAAATCCCATTCTTTATATTCAGGATAATGTGTCACTGTCCATCATTACTATAATTAAAACACATGTAATATAGAGGCATCCATACAGGAGCCCATATGCAAATAGAGACTGATCAATTCGATCCAATCAACGACGATATAATGCAAACAAGAAGTAACTATCATGGCTCAGTGGTCTAGTAGATAACGTTTTGGTGTTGGAAGCGATCCTTCCAGAATTCGAATCCCGATGGGAACAACATCACTCACTGGGATGCAGGTACATCCAGCTGGTGAGTCCCCAATAAGACTAACTGCACCTCCTGGATACCACTGCTAGCCACTATCCACCATTAAAATGTGTCACTATACCTTCTCAACGTTTTTCAAGTTCTGAAAGAAGCTTGACATTAATTTCAACAGTGCAAAAGTCCTGACGTGGAAGATTTTACGTGATGAAAAGTACGCTAAATAAAGTTCCATAGACTGATTTCTACCACCTAGAAGTGAACAGAATGCATCAAATTGCTGTGAAACAAAGCTTGTTAGTCCTGCAGCATATCTGGTAAGAGAGAATTGGTCCACAATGAAAAACATAAGATATAATATTGTCTCAGTGATCTCCACTTGTTTTCATATATATTTAATGAGTCTATGTAATTATGTTAAAGGAGTTATATAATACATTAGCTTGCCGTTACTGAATAATAAATTGGTTACACTACAGGCTATGCCAAATAATCTAACCAGTTATTATCTTACCACAGGAAATACTTTGTCTTTGTTTCAAGTTATCGGTATAATACTGAGCCCCAGCAGATCATTACTGAAGGTTAAATATCCAATACTATCCGCGCTTAAAGTCTTCTGACTAGATATTCAATAAACGGTATGTAGAGATTTATTAGTTTGGAATCAGTTCCCATGACGCATTAGTAACATTGGTAAAACCATTAAAAACCTAGAGATACTGAGTTTAGTTTTGAAGAATCATTAGCAGTGCTCACTCTTGACCCCATAAAGAAACCTAGCCCACAATTATCAGTCTGCTGGTGAGAACGTTACCAGCTGGACAATGAGATGGAATGCAATGGTACACTATCCCCTGCACCTATCAATTCTCGATATAGCATCACTAACACCCACTGCAGTTGAAGAGTATTTATCCCTTCACCCAACTTGATTGACTCTACAAAACACTAGTTTTCATTAGAATTTCGGGAAATGAATCTTCAAACAAATAAATAATGAGCAATAAAGAGGGCTTCATGTTTGTCAGTGATTTCCCAACCGACCTCAGTTTGTGATGAATTCTACCTTCAGATAGGAGAATGAGAAGAGTTAAATTTCAACCCAATAGCTGAGTTGTAGTGTTTCCACTATGACAGCCGAGATATTAGTCGGAGATGAATACTACCCTAAAACTATTCATGGAACACTAAGATGCTCAAAAAGTATATGCAGGTAAATAGGACTGATACACGTCAACTAAAATGTATGCTTATTTACACAAACTTTCCTGAACAAAAGTTGCCACTTATAGTATCTAGTAAACAGGAAATAATGCTCAATTGCTTAAATCAAAAGTTAACTACGTTCTGTAATGTGTAACTCATTATAAGAATGTCATTTCTACAGATTGCTGAACCTTAGATTTCTAATTTAGTCAGGCTCTTTCTTACATAATGAGAATTTTATTCAATCGAAAAATCCGCTTCTTAGTTAGGAAAACAAGGAGTAAGTAAAATACTAAGTTCAGGCAATAAAATTCGACGTATAAAGTAATTTTCATGACAAATCGGAAGCATCTCAAATGATGTAACGATGTAATAGATTAGGCGCATGTATATATAAAAGTCAAACGATCTAGTCTAATAGTAATAAAAAAAGCTTTTTTTCATTTAAGTAGATCAGAACATTTGAAAGCATCAAATTAATAAATGTATAGCGACTGGTCTATATTATTATCATTATTATTTATTATTTGTCCCTTGGGTTCCTAGTGGAACATAGGGATTCAGTAGTATGTCTCCATTGCACTCTCTTCTCTGCAGTCTTTTGAAGCTGACGCCACGACTTCTCACAAGCTTTCATTTCTTCTTTACACCATCTCCTCCATGTCACCCTCACCTCGGACGCCCAACTTACCGTTTGGATTCCACTCGAGTGCCTGGAGCGTGATGCCCCAATTGACCTTCTCAATGTATGCCAAATCCATCTCCACTTCCTTCTGAATATTTGTTGCATGATAGGTTCTTGGTTGGTTCGTTGCCAGACAGCCACACTTC